GGGGGAAGTGGTTAAAAAAGGTAACAGTGTACTGCACCGAGATCACCACATTACACTGGACTGCATCACACACCAGCCGCTACAACGAAATGCAGTGGCTGGTGTGAATTAGCCCTAACTCACTGTCCATGGGACAACCTTTTCACTAAACAGGAAATGAGGGGACCTCTCCAACAGCAACACAGGCAGAAAAATTATTTTTTTTTAACCTCTCCCCACCCATGTAACATATATGTGTGTTGGCAAAGAGAGTGGGCTTTAACGTCCACATGCTGCACATATGTGTCCATGGATAGCCAAGGTTTTTGTGCTGGGAAACTTTGGCTGTCCAGCACAATGCACTCTCCCATCTCTAGTTATGAGCAGAAGATGGTGGGGTGGGCTCTCAATTATGTGTCCACTGTGGCAGCCAATCAATGTGGTCAGGTGATTGAGAAATCTGTTCTGCCTGCCGGGGGTAAAGACCCAGTTATAGGGACCATGGGGGCTGGGCCAGAAGGGTTTAAGTCGGGTAATGCTAAACCTTCTTTTAGTTTTTATTTTCTGTTTCTCTGATGAAGATTTTCCCTCACTTCCTGTTTGGTAAAAGGTTGTCCTCAGAACATAAAAAGAAAAAAGCTTTGTCTATAGTTACACCTTAAGTGATACCCTTTATTGGTTTCCCTAAGTCTTTAAAGTTGTTCTAACAGCAGAACATTTTTAACCGTAATGCATTCCCTACATTAAGGTAAAAAATGTGCCTGTAGCAATATTGCCCCTCATCCCCCCTATGTACTTACCTCAGTCCTATCTGAGCCTTTGGCTCCCGCTGCTGTCAATCAAATCCTGTTAGGAGGGAGCCAGAAGCGGGGCTGAGCCACACTGTGTGTGTCTGTGGATGCACACAGCCTGACTCAGGAGCGAGCCCACATGTCTTCCCCCATAGCAGACACAGAAGAGCAAGAGCAAATGGCACCAGAGGGGGACCCTGGTAGAAAAGGTTCTGTACAATACCATTACACAGAGCAGGTAAGTATAACATATTTGTTATTTTAAAAAATCAAAACTTTTGAAACCACTTTAAATTCACAAGCTTTCAAAATATGTTTGTTTATTTTGTCAATCATTATAAAACATTGGATCCAAAAACCACATATCTGTAACCAGAATTAGTGTTTGTGTCCTAGAAAGTTAAAAGTCTTTCCTCAGCTTTGCTGAGAAAAAGTCCAACTATATTTGTGCTTGCCTTTTTTATCCCTATGTTTTCATTTAATTTTTCTTCTGTCAAGATACTCAATATACTGTAGGTGTTTCTTTCTTTAGTGACTTTAATCCAGACATCAAAAGCGCTGCTTAACCACTTGGGCCCAAGGCCAATTCTGACATTCCTTTCCTATGTAAAAATCACTGCTTACTTGGATCCCCCCAAAATTATATTTTTTTAAGCAGAGGCCCTAGAGAATAAAATGGTGGATGTTGCAATTTTTTATGTGACGTGGTATTTGCGCAGCAGTTTTTCAAATGCATTTTAGTGCACACAAGCACAATATAATACCCACTTTTTTGGTAAAATATAAAGAATAATGTTACACCAAGTAAACAAATACCAAACATGTCACACTTTAAAATTGCGCACTCCTGTGGAACGGCAACAAACTATGACAGATTAAATTACTCATAGGCGAAGCATTAAAAGCCTTTACAGGTTACTACAATGAATTTACACAGGAGGCCTGGTGCTAAGATTATTGTTCTCACTCTGATGTTCACAGTGATACCTCACATGTGTGGTGTGATTGCCATTGCATGCGAGCACAGGGGGAATGTGAGTGTTTTAGATTTTTTAAAATTATTATTTATTGTATTATTTTTTTTTTTTTTTTTTACACTGTACCTTTACATTTTTTAATCACTTTTATTGCTATCACAAATGATGATTAACAACCCTTGTGGTAGAATGGGCCATGACAGGCCACTTTATGAGGAAATCTAGGGTCTATGAGAGACTGGATCTCTTCTCTGGTCTCCAAAACAGCGGATAAAACCGAGATTGGTTTGATCTGCTGCTACGCAATCCAGCAATCTGAAATGACAAAATCCTCATTGCTTCTGTTTCTCACACAAGATCGGTTCCACTCAATGTGTTGGGGAAAACAGATTACCAGTGGCATCCTTACAAAGCTCCCCATTTGCTCAGGGGAGCCCTGTAAAAGCAGCCTGTGGGAGGGGGGTTGTACCCACTTGCCTGCCTGTTGTAAACCAGTGACTTCTTATCCACTGATTACTTTTACATTTAAGGGAATCACCGGCCCTAAATAATGATATCTTGGTCATCGCTACAGCTGCGGAGATGGCCGAGATATCACAAATATAAAATGTATCAAAAATATTATATTTTCTATTCTGTATCGCATCTTAAGTCTTGTATCTAGAAATTGCTGCAGGGCTGTAATCCACCCCATTTTCTTTTATTAGTAATCTGGTAAAAACTTTTGCACATCTGTTTGTATTGCAGAAAAGGTATACCCAAACACAACCACAGAAAACCTGATATATCAATTTCAGTGCTAAGATGTTTCTTACAACCAACAGTCAGAGTCAAGCCTGACTTGAAGGATTGAATTTAGTGACACGTCAAAGAGAGCATAGAATACAGGTCATGGATGCAAGAAGAAGGTCGTTCCAATAAACACATGATGAGATGTATAAAATCTGTCTGCAATGGATTACATAGAATGCAGATTTTGTTGAACTGAGTAGTAGGCCTTGTGCACTTCATTTTGGATAGGTCTAGTAGTTCACTCATTTTTCCAGTGTTTCCTAGAATTTGCTACTTCTTATTGTACTTATGTATCCTTTTAAGAAATTCATGGAAACGCACTGTATAGTTATATAGTGTAGGTTCTTGGATTAGTAATTTCAATGTTTTACATTTTTTATAGTTAAGCATGTCTGTCTGCATTAATTTGCTGTCATTCTTGTGGGCAAGTAGTTTTATTCAAAGGACTGCTAATTTAAAACATGCAGACTAGAAAACATGCTCTTAAAATGTTGCAGCTAACAAGGATGTTCGTGATTTGCAATAAAGAAACCATAATGTTTTTCAATTTGTTTTAAGTATATTGTATGTGTATTTATACAATAATATTTTATATCTGTTTTAACCATATCTTTTTTATAATCTTGGAACGAAAAATATTTTTTGTAGGTATAACCATGACACAGAATTTCCAGGGCATTATGAGTTATCTAAAGAAAGAGAATAGCGGGTTCTATTCAGATACTCATCTCAAGGAAGGATTTTCTACAGTATAGGGCTCTATAAACAGAGCAAATAAGCAAAGCCAGTATAACATTTTTGAAAAAGAGCAGAGAACACATCTGCTGGCGGAATACGAAAATCCAAATGACATGAAAATCCAAAATAATAATATGCAATATTTCATATTTACCTGTCCAAAATATTTTGATAATATATTGTTTTATTTATATGTTGTAAACATTTTATTTTTTTAGCTCTGTCCATAACAGAAAAGATAGAAAATAAATATATATTGTCTTGAATGTACAGTTAACACCTAAAGAATGTATAGTGGTTTTTCTATGTATTTTCTTTATTAAAGTCAGGAGTAAAACATATTTTTAATTTTCAGTCAGATAATTATGGAATAATGCATATTAATTTTTTGTATTCCTTATTTTTAAACTACAGGTAGAGCAACAGACTCTTTTTTTTCTGTTTTTTACAGGGCTCAAATCTCAAGCTAAAAATTTACTCACAATAACTCCTCCACTTTTCTCACTGATCAGGTTTTAATCAGACAAAGTGAGCCTGAGGAGGAATATGTGAAATGTTTATATTTTAAAACAAAGATTCTATACATATAGTAAAACAAATGTAAGCCATCGTCTTAAAAACTTTTAATTTAAAAATAAATTACAATAAAGTTGAGCCAAAACTTTCACATTTAACTCCCTCATACCTGGGTCTTTTTTGTTTATGCAAAACTGTATATTGTACATTATGTCACTTGAAACTAACTTTTGTTTTTTGTTGCTTACCAAACCACAGGATATTCACGTTTATAGTGACTTTCTTTTAGTAGTTTGTTTTAATAAATATAGGCTTTCTTTTAGTAGTTTGTTTTAATAAGTTAACTGATTATGTTTTTAAAATAAATAGAAACGTGCACAAAAATGTGAAAAACAAATATTTTTTCAGTGTAATTACCATATGTAGCATTAAATGAAAAAAAAAATTACTCAGTGAGTAAGTTTTGTTGATTGTAAAGCATCACTCTTATTCTTTTCTCAAATTTCTTATTTCAGAGGAAAGGTTACAGGTTTTTAATATATTCCCCTAGCTATAGATGAGGAACCAGTTTCAACCTATTTATACTGTATAAGGGTCTAGAGCAGGGGTCTCCAAACTGTGGCCTGCAGGCCAGATATGACCCTTTGCTTGCTTTTATCAGACCCTGGAGGTACTATTTCTTCCACTGATACAAGGCACTATTCCCTCCACTGATACCAAAGATGGAGCACTATTCCTCCTACTGACTTCACCAATGGGGAACTATTCCTCTCATCGACACCAGAGACGGGGAACTAATTCTCCCACTGACACAAATGGTGGGGCAATAATACTTCCACTGACACCAATGATGTAATTTTTTACTCCCAGGGACCACCAAGCCTATGGTATGCTCACTGATGCCTGGGCATTTTTGTACTCCCACTGGCCACAGTCCAGTCCCCCTAACATTTGAAGGCCAGTAAACTGGTTCTTTGTTCCAAAATTTGGAGACCCTTAGTCTAGAGGAAATGTACTGTTCTAGGGATATTTCAATCTTTTGGTGCATTTTTGGTGCATTTACCTGTTACAGTTTTACGTTACAATATATCCAGCTTAGCTAATGCATAAGAAACATATTTAGGCAAATATTTTGAGTATGGTAATACCCCAGATGTGTTATTTTCCTGCTGTCTGTGTATCTCAGAGGAACTTGAACTACAGTAGATGTGTCATTGTCATGTTGGAAAAGTGCTCGGTGACCAAGGGCATGGTAGCATCTTCTCTTTCAATATAGAGCAGTACATCTATGAATTCATGATACCATCAATGAAATGCAGCTCCCAGTCACCAGCAGCACTCATGCAGCTTCACAGAAGGACACTGCCACCACAATGTTTCACTGTAGGCACCATGCATTTTTCTTAGTACACCATAGAGTTTTGAAGCCATCAGTTTCAAAAATATTTATCTTGGTCTCATCATTCCAGAGTACAGAGACCCAGTAGTCTTCTTCTTTTTCAGCATGGGCCCTGGCAAATTCTAGGTGGGTTTTTTTGTGCTTGTGCTGTAGGACAGGCTTCCTTCGTGGACGACACCCATGCATGCTATTCCTCTGCAGTGTACGCCATATTGTGCCATGAGAAACAATCACCTCAGTTTGGCTTTCTACTTCTTTAGCTAAATGCAGTGAACTTGCATGGCGATTTTCCTCAACCATTCTTATCAGAAGAGGTTTCTATCGAGGTGTTAACTTCCGAGGATGGCCTGCACGTCTCTGTGAGATGGTTGCAATTCCATCTTTGTTAAATTTTTGTATCACTTTTGCTACAGTATTCTGACTGATAAGTAAAGCTTTGCTGATATTCTTGTAGCCTTCACTTTTATTGTGTAAAAAATGTTTTTCTTTCTCAGGCCTTGTGACATTTCTTTTCCATGTGGTACCATTGCTGACAGCATGAAATGGGAAGGGTTTTCTTTTTTAAGTAATGCCCTTTTATAATCAACTGACTGCTGGACACCTGTTTAATGAATAATTAAACTCACCTTTAGTTGAATTCTTGTCGATTAGGATTTTTTATCTAAAATTTAGCTTTGCTCCTAAGACTTTCATTGGGGTGCATTCATTTTTGCAACATGGTTTTGAATGTATTTTTAGGAAAAATATTTTTTGTGTGTGGAAATTAACAAATCTTGTTTTCAATAAATGGCCCGCATTTGTGGGAATATTTTGTAGTATAGTGTCCAATAGAAAATGTTAATTCTGAAAGGAAAGTAAAGGTTTTCTGACAAATCTGTTGGGGTGTTCTCATTTATGCTGAGCACTGTATAATAATAATCATAAAATAAGTCCCAGGAAACCACAATCATGTTTAGTTCCACTTAAAAAAAAATCATAATTACACAGCTATGTATTAGGAGTATGAAAACATCTCAAGAAAACTCTACTATAAACTCATACACACGCACACTTGATCACATACAAACTAATCAGTTGAATAAATCAGTTAATGAAAATATGCTATGTGACCTAATGATGTAATCAAATAACTAATTAACAGGCTATTAGCTATATTCTGTAATCAACAGATATGCTATAACTTGCAATATCTAAATTAACAATGAATAAATCTAATAAACTAGAAGGTCAGCCCTATGTTTGGATCAGCATAAATCAACTGACAATCTAAATAACATGGCAACCTAACCTTCTGCTATGTAGTTAGAACCAATCAATTAAAATGTATCAATTAATTACTGTACATTGTAATGTTTCTCCAAATTTGTATTGCACAGTATCCATTGGTTTAATGAATTTATTAGTCTAAAAAAATACATTTTAAGCGTGGCATGTTCAAAGTTTTGGCACCCTTCCAACTTTCCACTAATGTTATTTTTGTAAGGTGCCAGAATTTAATTGATTCACTAGCCCTTAATTCAGGTCAAGTGAAGTCAATTCCAGAGTTTAATAAATTTTGATCTTTGGAACCTCTCAAGGTGTTATGTGTACACTCAACAGCCACAGGCTGATAGGAGGGTTGAAAATAAGATAACTGACTCTTGCAACAGCAAGGTGTGAATTATAAAAGCTGTAAAAAGATGTCAAATTGCTTTCTGTTAGTAACTGCTACTGTCTGGAATGCCATTAAGAAGTTAAAATTAAGGTGAGCTAATGAGGTGTAGACAAGAAAGAATGGTACAATGGCCTTGTTTGTTAAACAATACATTTATATCTCTGCTACAGTACATGCAGGAAGGTTTAGCTGTCATAGTTTTTCAGTAATCCATTCAGATTACTGAGTTTAGATGCAGAGCATTGCTTCCATAAACATGATCTGCAAAGAAAAGCTATTACAAGGAATGTGTACCCAAACCCCCCCAAAAAATTATATGTTGCATTCAGATCTGGTGGCTGCATTGGTTTTATTTTTTCATTTTTTTTCCTTTGCCTTCCAGTAACACACTTCCTGTCCTTGGGTGGCCAAGTTCACTAATTGTACTGTAGCTATGGAAGATCAGTGTTGTCGCCCTAGGCAGCTCTCCTGATGTGGACTACAAACATGTTCTCTGTTCAACTCTCTTAGATGGAGGGGAGGGTGAAGTTGTAGTTTGCAGAAGATAAAAGAAGATAACATTGCATGTCAGCTTACAGGAGATGACGCGAACACTGCAAATCTGACTAGATCAACATGTATTTTCTGTACTTGTAAATGTATGTAGCTTAACCACCTCCCATCCGGCCGTTGTATATAAACGGCCGGACGGGGGCAGTGCAGGGGCAGGTGACCGTTTATAAATGACCTCCCCGCCCCCTGCTTGTGCATGCTCCCTGGGAGCGTGCAGCACCGCGATCCGGTGCCTGCTGTGTCTTCTGGACACAGTGGAACACCGATCATCGTACGGGACCTCTATGCGAGGTCCCGATCATGTGATCACTAATTGGTCAATCAGTGATCACATGCAGAGTAATAAGCAAGATGTCACTTCTGACATCATTGCTTACTACATGCGAAATCTGTGAATGATCACAGAGGTCACCTGGTAAAAGGCTATTCACAACAGCCTTGTACCATGTGACAAGCTGTGACCAATCACAGCTCACACAGTATTTCTCAATGGCTGCAAGAATGCAGCCAGAGAGAAGGAGTAATGATTGCTTTTACAGTCTTTATGGGAGTAAAAGCAATCAATGTAAAAAAAAAAAAAAAAAAACATCTTACATCACCCCCCGCAAGTAGTACAGTGTCACCATGGTGACACTGTACTGCTAGGGTGACAGTATGTTAAAAAAAACATAAATAATAATATAAAAAAATTAAATAAAAATGTAAAAAAAATATTTTAAATTATACTTTTTGGTTATAAACTAATTTGGGTTATTTTTTTTACTAAAAAGATAACTGAATAAATGTTGGCCAAGATTTATGATGAAATATTATTTATTTGCAAAATTTTATAAGAAAAACACCTTTTTTTCAACATTTTTGGACACTTTCATTTATATAGCAAAAAGAGTAAAAATCCCAGTGGTGAATAAATACAACCAAAATAAAGCTTTATCTGTCTCAAAAAAATGCTAAAAAATTCATATGGGTACAGTGTTGCATGACCGCGCAATTGTCATTCAAAGTGTGATAGCACTGAAAGCTGAAAATTGACCTGGACTGGAAGGGGGTGAAAGTGTCCGGACTTGAAGTGGTTAAGAAAAGAAAACTAATGCAGCCAGCAGATGTAGGTATTGGTAAGCTGCAATATATTACATTTTGGTTATTGGATTTGGATATGCTTTAAAGCATTTCTCCAGGCACAAATACAAAGTTATAGCCTATAGAAGATGAAATTAAAAATAAAATGCTGCAATACTCATGTTCTATCCAGGCCTGCCAGTCAGTCTTCCAGGTTGACAATAATTATCATTCAAAATTAACTGTTTGATTCCTGTTTCTATATGTGAATAAAGGTCAACAATAGCCTGACTTTTTGACATATTTGACCTATGGCATGTATGATACAACAGTGCCATCTAGCGTTTAAGTTGTGAAATGTTTTCCCTCATATAAAATAAAGTAGAGGAAGTATATATAAAGGGCCACGTTGATGTGGGATTGGTTAAACTTTCTTTATAAAAGGCCAGCAGCATAAGCTGACAGAGGGCTCCAAAACAAGAAAGAAAGATTTGTGCCGGAGAGCTCCATACCAACAAAGAAAAGCTCTATGCCAGAGGGGGCTTTGCGAGACCAAAGAAGGAACTTCACCTGGGGATGATGCTAGTGTCTGATATCCTGCAATCACTTGTAGAGTAGAGCCTGGAGTCCTGGTTGCCTATGGAGATTGTGAAGCCACTATAAATCAAGCTAAGCTACTTTTCCTATTATACATTGACCATTGTTCATACTCATTCGTTAATAAGGTTGGGTAGCATGTGCATGTGTATATTTGTAAGGCTTTGTAAGTGTTGTATTATTTTCCTACAATTGTAAGCAGTTTGTACAAATTTGTACAGCATTCTTGTTTGTTGAATCACATAATATGCTACAGAGCAGGGGCAGACTGACCATTTGAGCACTCAGGCACTGCCTGAGGGCCCGGGGTCAGTGGGGGCCCCATGAGATGCCCCTGATACTTTTTTATAGGCTTTTTTGAGTGTGGGCAAGGACAAGGGGGCTCCATGATCCCCTATTGCCCGGGGGCCCCATGAATTGTCAGTCTGCCCCTGCTACAGAGGTTTATGCTTCCTTGCTTTTGCTATATAGATACAAACCAAAACACTGCCTAAACAACGGTGGAATTCTTTGACTACAATTGACAAAGTTACATTTAGAGAAAAAAAAAACAAATTAATAAAGGGAGCCACTGACCTTTTGTGTCATACTGTTCTAGGTTGGACTGTAGCATAAAGTGTTCGTACCGGAGCGGGCATTGTTAGAATCATTGATAATGTTGATAAACAAGCTTTAGCTTGTCACTCGATGGATGAACATGCATATGCTCCTTTCTTTACCCTCTCCACCTTCTGTCTTTTAGTTTGACAGCGATTGCAGCAGAAATCGGCAGAAGTGATCACCCGGTTTCATTGAGTGAGCATGACCAAGGGCAGACTGACCATTTGGAAACTCGGGCACTGCCCGAGGGCCCGGGGTCAGTAGGGGGCCCCATGAGATGCCTCTGGTACCTTTTTCATAGGCTTTTTTGAGTTTGGGCAAGGACACAGGGGCCCCATGATCCCCTATTGCCCAGGGGTCCCATGAGTTGTCAGTCCACCCCTGAGCATGACAAATGGAATTGTGGAAGGTGTAGTTCACTGTAGAAGGTGCAGCAGCTAGCACAACTCTCTGAAATAAAGTGCTAGGTCTGCATAACTCTTCTTAACAACAGTATTGCTATTCTGTATTCAAGGTGAACAAGGCTGATAATAAACTACATTTATATATTCTTATTGAGGTAAGAATGATTTTTATGGTAAAATTAAATTATGTATTGGTCTTTTCATGGGGCTTCCTGTAACATATGTAAATGGACACATGCTGCCTTTAGTTGTACTTTAAGAGAAACAAAACTATGGTCCCAAATTTAAAGTGTATTTACATTATATGTTCTATGTGCATTTCCCTTCACATGGCATGGCTACGTTTTTAAATATTTCTTACCCTTTAGATGTTTCTCATGAGGAGGTGTCATAGTTGAATGCAAGGTTTTTTGAACAATGTTAGAGTGAGCTGTCCCAAG